TTTTATTCCGATTCGCGAACGAATGGCTCTTATGAGTCGGATCTTTTAAGTGACTCACATAAACAACATACAGGGGTCATGCCCAAAAGCATCGTTAGCTAACATTCAGCGCCTCAAGTGTTGGCCGATTCCCGAGCGAATGACTCTTGTGAGCCGAATCTTTTAAGTGAACCATAAACTTGCAGGAGAGTGTAGTCCGACTTTTATGAGCCATCTCTTTTTAATGAACCTTTTTAATGATTTAATGAATCTAGAAATAAAAGTAGGCTAGTATTCATTTGAGTTTGATACATCTTTAAAAGTAATGATTACTTTAATTGTTTTATATCCAGAAGAGACCAGGGTTAGCTGTCATATTTCTGACGTCAGTGAATATTTCTCGTAGGTTAACTTTTAAAAAACAGTTAATGTATCCAGTCTTCTTGGCTACAAAAAAAGCTATTGATACATCATTTAAAAAAAAAAGGATAATTAACAGCCTATTTAACACATTGAACTTTTGACCCCAGTATATTGGTTAAGTTGTTAGTTGTTGTCAGTTTAGTGAACACTGATTTTTGATGAACACCGCTTTTTTTAAATATGAAAGACTTGAAAAAATCGTACTCTATATTATTTTTATTAGCAGAAATGTTGGATGTATGTATCCCAGTGTTGTTTTATTATATTTATGTGTTTACACAGCTATTACAAAATATGTAATACTTTTATAGTGCTATACTATTATATAATAATTGTATAGTAATTTTTGTTTGGATGACAGAATTCACAAATAGCCCTAATTTAAGACAAGTTTGAACTAAGTGTTTGAAGACAAGCAGTTGTATCACTGGATTTGTGGCAGAAACCTTTATAGTTACTTGATGATAAATAAATTTTTCTGTGAATACTCCCTGCTGCAGTGGAATGGGAGCACAGGTCACATGCGCCGTAATTAGTCTGTAATGATGGATTTATTCAGAGATTGTCCTCCTGGCCGAACACTAGTGTCTCATTAGGGTCCCCTTCTGGGACCCTGACAAAGGTGGTGCTCCCCGAACTTCACATAAGCACATAGTTAATGGGTTTACCCACGAGAACACCCTGCTGGAGACAGGACAGAGAAACTGGTTGCTATCTGTGCACTAACTGAGCCATTCTCAATGCCACATGAAAGAAGGGGATTTGTCCCAATCCTCCAGAGTCTTTGAGACCGAGACAGATCAATGAGAGGCTTCACTTAATCTGTTATTGATTTACACAAAGGAACAAGCCTTTTATTCATCCACAGGTGATGCATTCCTGTGTATGTGCAGTGTTTTCCTTTTATGCAAGGTATTGTACTTAGTTTTATTTATCAAATAGTGCAATCCAGCACACACAAAACTGCAAGAAAGGCAAAGCTGGCATTGTATATCAGAAATCAAAATAACACGTGTGCTGATGGCATTACTTGCTAAAAACTACTCTAAAACATATTTAAAGTAATGATAAATTAGACTTTTTGAATGGATAATGGAAAATTGACTGCATTTGTTTCCTGTAAGACAGCAATTATCTGTGCCGTGTTGAAGCGTTTAGGGATTTTGTTACTGTTATGACTGTAATGGCTGTCAGCAGCCTTACCACACTAGACTGAGGAATGCAAAACCCACAGGGAGACACAGAAAATATCCCCAGTGCTGCTGGATATTGCATATTCTATTTCATGGTGGGCTTAATTAATGTAAAACAGTAATTTAGTCCTCTGTCCTATATACCTGGCCTAAATAACTGTGATAATGAAACTAACAGGATTTGTTCTGTTGTTGCTCTGTCTCTGAGGACTGGGACCCCGCAGTCCTCTGGTCTCCATGTAATGGTTGTGGTGGCGACAATGACAAAAGTGGGTTCATAAATCCTTTTTGGTCTTGTCTGATGAGAAATACATCTTGTGGGCTCTACATGTACATAGTTTGACTTAAGGATTACTTTAAGAAAAAAAAAGATTTATTAAGTTTATTATTTTTTAATTTAATTTAATTAATAAATAAAGCAAGCAAGCATACATTTGAGTAGCAGAAAACACTGGGAAATTGAAGAAAAAGCCCATATCATCACCACAGTGTCTCCAATTTTTCTATATCACTCACCACTAAGGAAAAGGTCACCAATAGGCACTTTGGATTAATTAAATAAAAATAATAAAATAGAAAATTAAATAAGATAAAAAAAATGAAATAAATCTCCTATTTTTTAATTTATAGGTATATTTCTCATAAAATAATTTTGTATTGATTAATTGTATTAAAGCAAGTTGTAAAATACACCTGTGTTTTTGTGATAATTGTTATGTATGTTAGATAAACCATCTAGATCTAACTATCTAATGTGAAATTAATTTAGCATGATTATTATTAGCATAATAATAAAGTGATCAGAGAAATATTTTTATAATATATGTTTTAAAGAAATGTGGTTGCAACACTGTTGCCTATTTTTATGCTAACAATCAGCATAAATCAGGGTATTACACTTTATTTAAATAGGCTATGTGTGGCATTTTTTGGTAATGGGGTTTCAGAAATTCAAACTTCACATAAAATGAACAGAAAATAAAGCATCTCATATAATTTTTTAATTAAATTTATCTTGTTAATCAGTATTTTCCGAGTTAAGCATCTAATTTCTATGAGATTTCCATGACCATTTGTTAAATAAAACATAAAAATAATAATTGTTGCAACTTTTGTAGAGTTTCAGGCCCTATTTAATACCATCTTTTTCTCCCATAAGCTTTACATTTGAATGATAGATGTGTAGAACAAAGTTTCTGTGTTGTTCATGGGATAAAATATATATGGGTTCTAATAAAAACAGATTTCTTATTTGTATGTCATAAAGTAGACATTAATGCTAATTTGAACAAACCTTTGGTGTGTTTACAGCAATTGTATCTTGACAAGGGTGGATATTACAACATCTGTCAGAGACAGGAGTTCAAAACAAATAATTTGACAGATGTTTTGTGTGTTAATTTAACCACTCCTGCCACCTAATGGTCACATTAAGCAAGCACAACACGGTTATCACTTCCGAGGTTAACGCAAGAGGATAAAAAATAAAACCTGGACAAAGAAATGACTCTTGCCTGATACCATAAAATGTATTGTATATATTATGCAAATATTGATTCACATTTGCTTCCAGTTTTCCCGTTACTCTTGTCTGACCGTGATATAAAGATTTGCTTTACACATACTGAGTCAAACTCATGCATCAGTGATGAGAGGGCAGTTCTTTCTGTGCAAGCAGAAACAAAGCCATGTTGTACAGGGTCAGTGGGTGTAATGCTGGATGAAAGAGGCCTTTTTACTGGAGTTGTGCTCAATTCCCACTCTTTAGTCCTGTGAGATCTGTTGGAATAACAGTGCAGGAGTAATTGTACCCTGATGGTGCACAAAACGGCAGGATGGTTTTTGATGAAAAGTTAATAATTTGCCTAAACCACTGTGTTTTATTGCTGAGAGCTGACTGGCTGTTCTGTTCTGGATGGGTGAATATGTGGCTCTAGGATCTGAACAGCACAGATTTATCTCATAGCTGGATAACAGTTGCATCATATTGTATATTTTAACCATCGAGGCCAATATGTCAGAGTGACATCTGTTTTCAACCTTTCAGGGTTCTTCGTCTTTGTCAGCCTCAGAGGTGGTTTCCAATACACACATTTCAATAAGTACAATTAAGCAGAGAGGTCAGTGCTGTACTGAGCTGCTCTGGGAACAGTGGGGTATATCAGTGGCAGCTTTTCATTACACTCAATCTTTTTCATATTTTCATAGAGATTGCAGTATTTGTGGATCATAGCACACAAGCAGGTTACTGTTTCTCTGCACTATTTTACATTTTTCATCAATGACCTCTGGTAATGACTGCTCAGCGTTACATGAATTCACTTATTTCTTGGAATGAACATTAGCCTAAATTGAAACTGGAGTAGCATGAAAGGTGGTTCAAAAAACAGACTGTAACATATAAGCAAGGTTTTGCTATTTTTCGTTTCAAAAACTGTCAAGATAATGTGTAATAAATGACTGGAATGAGAGGCAGTTATGGGTGTTGCTCAGATAACTAAATGTATGTTTCAAAATTAAGTCTTCACCAAGATGTTAATTTCTAGTTTAATTAATTTCTAGTATAAATTTCACACACACACACACACACACACACACACACACATGTTGTGTTTCCATGTTTTATGGGGACATTCCATAGGCGTAATGGTGATAAACAAGTTACACACACACACACACACACACACACACACACACACACACAGACACACACTATATATATATATATATATATACACATACATATGAAGAGTTTATTTGCAAAAACCTATAACCTAATACTTAATGTTAAGTAATAATAACAAAATTAAAGTTCGTTGAAAGTATGTTTGTTTTTTACATATTAAAAGTTTGTTTTATAGCAAAAGCAGATAACTCCACATTTCATGTTTTAGAGTTTAAAAAAAACACTGGTTTAATATGTGTAATCTCCTCAGATGACAATGTAGATGCCTGACAAACGTTGTTGTTGTTGTGATCATAAACTGTATGGATGTGATTACACGCAATACACGGAGCTTTTCCCTCACCAGTGTAACGCGGTGCTTTTGCAAGGTTTTGAAAACGTTTCAGCTTTTATTTTCCTTTTTTTGCCCTGAAGAAGATATCACAGGTTCATCAAGTTTGTTGAAATTGTAATTGATAATTATACATTTTGTGGAATTTTTGTAAATATGTTTTGAATTAATTAAAATAAATCAAATAATTAAATTGTGTATACATTTATTCGCTATTATATATGAAACATATTTATTTATTGTGTCTCATATTTAGTCATTTAAAAGTAAATGTTATTGAGTTCAAGTGAGTAATGCAAATGGTTTGCTCTGACGTAACCCGTCAGGCGACGAAATTCCCGTACTATAATTGGCCAAGACACAAGCCAATCATAACGCCCATATCGGTCTCTTCCGGCTGTGTGTCAGCCCTTCAGCAGCAGTAGCAGCAGCAGCAGCATCCCTGCCCAAGAGAAGCGAAGTACAGCCAGCATCACAGGTAACGATTTCAAAAAAAAAAAAAAAAGCTCTTTGGACTCATTCACGCCAGTATCTAAAATGTTTAAAGCAACGCTTTCCAGCGGGCGAAAAGCTCTCGCGCCGTTGCTAAGTAAGTTTGTCAGCTAAGCTGCTGAGCTTTAGCCCGTTAGCATCTGTTTACAGGCTCCGGCTGTGCCTCTTAACCTAGGGAGCTGCCTACATGCACAACGATTATGAGTGAACGCTGGCGAAACCCAGTGAGTAAACCAGAAATTCCCCAAAATGTTGTCTGGTTAGGCAGTTCACCAGGTTGGTACACAGCCCAGATTTATGAGGGTGTGAGTGCTGAATATTTTGGTTCTGTTTTTATATTTTTCTACGCAGCTATTCACGTTTGACAACAGAATCAAACAAATAAACAAAAAATATCCAGAAAAGCCTTGTCTTTTGATTTACAGTATGAGTTTCAGAGGTCGAACCCTGTCGTGTTGAGTTCGAGGGCTGTTCAGCTGTCATTTTCCTATTAAAAGTAAACAGAGGTTTTGTAAACGCTTTACTTTCAGCTGTTTTCATCTGTTTAAGTGTGTTCAAGTTGGTCTTATTCCCTGGGGCTTTATACACCGGCATGTTACAAATTCGAAACATCTTGCTCAGTATATGACTGTGACAGAAGTTACTTGAACTTTCTTTACTGCAAGACAACATTTTTTGAAAAAGGAATTTTTTTTTTCAATGGGGCTTGTGTGTTAGTGTTTGACTTATTTGCATTGTGTCATGTTGACTCGTGTAGGTTCCACGGCTTTGAATGGCAGAAACTGTTTATATCTGATGAAAACTAATGTCATTTCTGTGTAACCTAAAAAAAAAGTTGTGTCAGTCCATTTCTGGTGTTAAAGTGGGTAAAAGGGTACACTGTAAAAAAATGATTGCGATTTTAACAGTAAAAGACTGTAAAAATGCTAAAGTAAAAACCTGTTAACTGGTTAACAGTAAGTTTCCATACTACATACGGTGAATAAATGTAATTACATTTAATGTAATTTTACAGTAAAATACTGTTAAAAATATATGGGTTTTGGAAGTGAAAAAGAAAAAGCCATTGTATAATTTACAGTGAAAAACTGTAAATTGACACTCCCAGAATTCCCTGCATGACACTTCATATTTGATGCTTTTTTGTTGAAATAACATGTTTCTTCTTAGTTTTTTTCTTATCAGTTGTGTACATTAGGGTGTACATCTTACATCTAATGTTGATAAATTAATGTTTATTGCATTATTTCAGTATCGTGTGTCACCATAACGGGGTTTAGTGTTTGTGTGAATGACACCGTGCACCTTCTATATATAAATATTGCCCTCCTCAGCTCGTAGAAAAGCTGTTTGTGATGAGCTTTGGTTCATCATGTGACTTTCTAATCACCACCCGTTTTTGGTGGTTATCAGTGCATTACAATGGTTCAAAACAGATATTAACACTTCAATATGTTGGTTTATTAACATTACATCAGTTAATGAAATACGGTATTTTATTGTGAATTTAAGTTAAGTCTGTACAACCTAAAATGTTGCTACCTTATTTTTTATGGTGAAGTTCTGGCAACCACAGCTGCCAGTATTTTACCGTAAATGTCACAGATTTTTTTTTACAGTGTAGAGTATTGTAAAGTGGGTCTGCCACATGGACCGCTGAACAGTTATTGCTTGATTTCCGTTCCTGAGGTGTTATATTGTGTGTAGCTTGGGGCAAGTCTGTAGACAGATATAGATGAGTATCAGGCCACATTCCACAGAGTAAAGCAAGGTGTCACTGCCTTGTTTTATGTGCACGCACATGGAGATTCCCAACACCGCCTTGACTTGCTAACTAGTGTGTGTCATTGTCAGGTATGTGCTTGCACCTCTTCCAAGCAGACTACATTCCAAAGGTCTCAATGAAACTGTGAGCAAAGCAAAAGACTTGATTCATTCCACTTCTGAAATCTCGTAGGTGTTTGTGTGTTTCCTTAGTCACTTTATTAGGCAGTCATGTCCTTTTGGGTATCTCTGCCACTGGTACCTATGCGAAAAACCTTCACAAATTTTCACAGATTTGGAATGGCCATCATTCTTAATAAACTCTAAATTGTCTTTATGACTTTATGAAAATTTGTTGAAAATGTACTCACACTCAGGCCATCCAAGATGTAGATGAGTTAGTTTCTTTATCGGAACAAATTTAGAGGAATTAATCATTACATCACTTGCTCACCAATGGATCCTCTGCAGTGAATGGGTGCCGTCAGAATGAGAGTCCAAACAGCTGATAAAAACAAAACAATAATCCACAAGTAATCCACAAGACTCCAGTCCATCAGCCTTGTGAAGCAAAAAGCTGTGTTTGTTTGTAAGGAACAAATGCATTATTGAGGTGTTTTGACTGTAACTTCTGGCCAAAATACCAGTCCATAATCCGTAATATTGCATTCTCCAGTGAGAAAGTCCATCCCCTGTTGTCCTCTCACATCAAAATCCACCAACATATTTGTTTAGAACTGTTTTGGACTGTTTTAGCTTGTAAATGGTGCTTGATTTTTGCCTATTTCTCTCCTGATTCAGACAGGATGACTTTTTCACTTGAGAAAGCAGTATTATGGATAGAGGACTCACATTTCAGCCGTATTTTTAGTAGAGATGCACCAGTTGCAATTTCTTTGCAAATTCTGATTTCCGAATTTTTTTTCTTTTCTTTTTTTTGTAAGTGTGACCTGCCGATACGATTTTTGCTGATTCCAGTATTCTTTCTAAGAACTATAATTGACAGCATATACAAATTAGGGCTGGGACAATAAATCGATGCATCATGATCAGGCTCGTAACTAGAGATGCACTGATTGCAATTTTCTTGGCCGATTCCGAATTCCGATTTTTTTTTGTTAGTGAGATCTGCCGATACCGATTTTTGCCGATTCCGATTTTCTTTCTAAGAACTATAATTGACAGCATATACAAACAAAAATCACAAGTAAAAAGTCATAAATAAAATAAGTACTATTTTTATTTATTTTATTAAAAGTAATAAAATAAGAACAAATAAAAATAAAAATTTAAATATCAAATATTTATAATATATTAAATATTAAACATTAAATTTCCCCCAATCTGAACTAAGTTACAGACAGATGTTCTGTCACTTAAACAACTCCCAAAATAAAGTGCTCTGTGACTGGAAAGAGGTAGAAATAACAATTAACTGAAAACGAGTTGCTGTATATAACAAAATAGATGTCATTACTCACTGTGTTTATAAATTGTCATTTTTTCCCTAACCTTATTAAATGTGTCATCTTTCACATCAAATTCTTACATTGTTTCAATTAATTCAGTTAGAATAATATGAAATTGTAGAGTATACCATTCAGATGAAATCAGTATCAACAAACTCCATCTTTCCACTGCAGGAAACACAGAAGCAGCATCTGAAGTGGCATATATTTAACACAGACTGTTTGATGAAGCCGAGGTGCCATAAATGCATTTACACCGCAAAATTGTAAATGCATAAATTATTTCATAAGATTAATTATTATTATTTTAAATAATTGAACATACAAATAAGAAATGTTGGGGAAAATGCAATGATAATTTTAAATACGAAACCAAACCACCAGTAGCAAATGACTGTTTTAATGAGTGAGTCATTTAGTCATTCATTCAGCTGATTCGTTCAAACGGCTGATTCATTCAGAAACGAGGCAAGTGACTGTCTTTATGAATGGGTTACTGTATCATTGACTCACCGGATTCGTTCAAAAATGTGGATTCATTCAGTAACAAAACGCCGCTGTGTTGATGGGAGACACGTAACAGTTCTGCTGTGGCTTTGATTGGAACTATTTTCGTTTGCCAAATTGAGCAAAAACAGTCAATATTGTGTCTAAAATGTTAGTCACTTAATTTGAACTTCTTGTGTATTGAACTACTATTGTATAAACCGCATATGCATCCACAGTATGCATCTATAACTTTCTGTGAGTTATTTTGTGTGCCGATACCGATTTTTGCCGATTCCGATTTTCTTTCTAAGAACTATAATTGACAGCATATACAAACAAAAATCACAAGTAAAAAGTCATAAATAAAATAAGTACTATTTTTATTTATTTTATTAAAAGTAATAAAATAAGAACAAATAAAAATAAAAATTTAAATATCAAATATTTATAATATATTAAATATTAAACATTAAATTTCCCCCAATCTGAACTAAGTTACAGACAGATGTTCTGTCACTTAAACAACTCCCAAAATAAAGTGCTCTGTGACTGGAAAGAGGTAGAAATAACAATTAACTGAAAACGAGTTGCTGTATATAACAAAATAGATGTCATTACTCACTGTGTTTATAAATTGTCATTTTTTCCCTAACCTTATTAAATGTGTCATCTTTCACATCAAATTCTTACATTGTTTCAATTAATTCAGTTAGAATAATATGAAATTGTAGAGTATACCATTCAGATGAAATCAGTATCAACAAACTCCATCTTTCCACTGCAGGAAACACAGAAGCAGCATCTGAAGTGGCATATATTTAACACAGACTGTTTGATGAAGCCGAGGTGCCATAAATGCATTTACACCGCAAAATTGTAAATGCATAAATTATTTCATAAGATTAATTATTATTATTTTAAATAATTGAACATACAAATAAGAAATGTTGGGGAAAATGCAATGATAATTTTAAATACGAAACCAAACCACCAGTAGCAAATGACTGTTTTAATGAGTGAGTCATTTAGTCATTCATTCAGCTGATTCGTTCAAACGGCTGATTCATTCAGAAACGAGGCAAGTGACTGTCTTTATGAATGGGTTACTGTATCATTGACTCACCGGATTCGTTCAAAAATGTGGATTCATTCAGTAACAAAACGCCGCTGTGTTGATGGGAGACACGTAACAGTTCTGCTGTGGCTTTGATTGGAACTATTTTCGTTTGCCAAATTGAGCAAAAACAGTCAATATTGTGTCTAAAATGTTAGTCACTTAATTTGAACTTCTTGTGTATTGAACTACTATTGTATAAACCGCATATGCATCCACAGTATGCATCTATAACTTTCTGTGAGTTATTTTGTGTGTGCTGTTGAGCTCATTTGTTTTGATTTCTGCATGAGTCTCTCTCTCACTCAGACAGGCTGTGCGAACCTCATCTGGAACTTCAATACATATGTCGCCGTTTACACTGAATGCAATAAAATCAGAATCATTTTCAAGCAAAAATTTTTGGTGGCCAAGTTTCAGTGCTTCCCTAGTTATTTTTGTTATTGACGTTTTAATCAGGCTTCTTGTCCAGTTCACGCATGTAAAATTCTCTCTCGGCCTGGGACGATCATGCAGAAAATTGGCTAATTCCGGTCCCTTGCCGCCGGTCGATCGGTGCATGTCTAATTTTTAGACTAATTTTTATTACAAACACGCAGCTTTTCACTTCACAAGTAGTTAATTGATGGACTGGAGTGGTGTGGATTACTTGTGGATTATATTGATGTTTTTATCAGCTGTTTGGACTCTTAGTGTAACGGCACCCATTCACTGCAGTGGATCCATTGGTGAACAAGTGTAATGTAAAAATTTTTTTACATCTTCTATCTACATCTTGGATGCCCTGAGGGTAAGTAAATTTTGAGCAAATTTAAATTTTTGGGTGAACTATTCCTTTAAGAATTTAAGCCACTTTTTTACCATGTTTAAATACTTTCAGATACATTAAATCTAATAAATGCACAATAAATTCTGCAGATTTACCCCCAGAAAAGTGCAGAAAACCAGCTGATTCTGCCCGGGCCTCCTTATGGGCAAATATCACACCAAATCAGTTCTGTCAACCCTTCGTTTCCCAAATTTAATTTCTATCCCCTGGTTCAGCCGAACAGGATTCTATTCAAATGTGACAGTACCTGATAGGGTGCTGGATCTCGTAAGACCCAGGCTTCTCATTACCGCACCTGCACCTGAGTCTTTATTTTTCACGCAGACATAGTGCGTGATTATCGGTTGCCACGGCACCCATATTCGGTCATCTCTGATTTCGTTCCTCTTGCTCACGGGAACAGATCAGAGATCATTACTCTAGCACAACACTGTGTCTCAGGGGATGGCTGAGACGTCCGTGTTATTTTAACATTTCAGCTGATTGCAGAACACTTGTTTTCCCATGTAGGTGAAAGTGCATCAGAGATAATGAATCAGATTCTGTTAAAAACCTTGGGCAATGCCGTCTCTTGCTTTGTCTATCGTCTTTGATTTCAGAGCACTGATGGTGTCTCCTGTTGACCCTTTGGTTATTTTGACATTGACTCTAATGTGGATTTAAGGGGATAGTTCACCCAAAGATCTAATTTCTGTTATTTTTTGCTCATTCTTGTTATTTAAAATACGAATGACTTTCTCTCTTTAATGGAACACAAAAGGCTGATCTAATTCCCTTTCAACTCAAACTCACAATATCACCTCTATAATCCGGTCACCACGGTGAACAGCCCTCTAGAGGCAATAATTATCAGTGAAAAACCTTTTCGGTCTTTTTGTCCGAGCTGTCATATGACTTATATAGTACGCAAATCCAGTAAATTATTCTGAATTTCTCCTATATATATTTGCAGATACATGCACACATTTTTTCTTCTTACCCAGACCAATCAACCACTGGAAAAACTCTATATATAGGATGCAAATATATTACATTTCTTTTCTGTTTAGTATTCATTTATGCTATGTAATGCCTTTCACCAAATAAAGTTGTATATGGAAAAATGTTCTTATTATGTTAAATGAAAGTAAGAAAGTCATACATGTTTGGAAGAACATGAGGGTGAGTAAATGTCAATGTTGACAGAACTTTTTTTTTAGGTGAACTATCCCTTTAAGATAACATCCCACACCATCACATCCCTTTTCTTCTTTGAAGCCTGACTCTGCATTTTTTTGAAAAACAGTTAATGTTAAGAGTTGGTCTGACTGTGACAGAGACAGCTGAAAGTTGTCTTCCACGCTGCAGTTACTCATTTCCTACTCTCTGATTTACTCACGAGTCGTCTGTGTGGCCTGACCCCTGACATTTTCTCTTTAAAGACTCATAAATAACCTTGACCTGCACTGAGAAAAACAATTCCCAATTGAAAACAAGCATCACGTGATTTGGGTCATCAGAAACCAATTAGGCCTTGCAAAGTGGTTGAGATGCTTTTGAATAGCTGTTTGAAACTTGAGAAACTTGGAACAATGAGTTGATTCATACGTGCAAGGAAAATAGATTTTTAATATCATCTGAATTTAAAAATCCAGTGATATTTGACCCCATAATGTTTAATCAAACTTGATCTTCTAGGGGAACCGTCAGACTTCTCCAATCTTTTAGTCCACTTTAACCATGCACCTTTTTTAAAATTGACTGCAAGCTCGCGTTCATCTTTGAGTACAACAGCCATATGTCAAAATTCAATCAACAACCGATGGATGGAACACAATAAAGAAGTCCTTGCCCCATTCACAGATGTACGTCACCAGGTGGAAAAGATCTGTTGCTTTTTCCGTTTCAATTGCAACCGTTTATTCAGAATTCACTGAAACTTTTAACATTGACTGACCAGTTGTTGGTAGATTTTGGAACCATTACATGAGTGACATACTACTTCTGTTAATTAGTCTGATATACCAGTATATTGTAAAATTTTTAGCGTGTTGCTAAGGTGTTGTCGGTGGTTAGTTACTTGAAGATTCTCTGGTCTCTACTTCAGTGTCAGTCAGTCTGCTGGTTTTCTTTTTGTCCGTCAGATTGCTTGCAAGAATAAAGCACACCTATTCCCAGAAGATTCACAATTTGAGGTGTCATTCACAATCAATACAAGGGTAACGGACCCTAACCCTAATTATGAGCAGTAGTAATAGTGACCCTTGCCTTGGCAAACACTACTATTGAATTGTCAAGGTATTTTGTGTAGTGCTTTCAAAAGTATTTCCTAATATTGCAGATTGGTTGGTTGAAGAAAGAAGTGTAGCAGTGAAGGACTCTTCAGTACTACTTGATTTGACTTTGCTTTTCAGTTTTCACATTACTTAAAGACTTAATAGTTGTCCTGGGGCTGTAATAAAACTGCTCTCCAGTAATTTGTGTTTGGGGAATTCGTTGAGCATAAATGTCAACCTACTAGAACAGCCCGGGAAAGACATTCAGCAAGCTTTCTTTAATTAACTCCGCAATTGCTACATAAAGTTGCGTAGCTGGCTAATAGACTTTAACCATGCTAGAAGGCAGCGTTCCCTCAGGTCTCGTCTAGACTGCGATAAGGCTGTCCCGTATGCGTCACAGTACAGGTCTGTTTGTCAGGTTACACTCTTTGGAAGTAGCCAGTCCAAAGTTCAGTTCTAAATCAAATGTGTTCCTGCATACAAGCCCATGGGAGGAGACCCACACTGGCTCCACCTCTCGTTTCAAGAGTGGCCGGCTAGTTTCAGTCAAACATGACGGATGAATGGGTGCATAAATTTAGACTCTAAGATCATTGGAGGAACAGGTGAATGATGGGATTTTTGTCCACTTCAGTCCATTTTTTCATTAAATGGACTCTAAGGTGCACCATTGAGTTGTTTTCTTGTTTGTGAATCTGGTTTTGACTTTTTGTCTCTCCACAGGTGTCTCTGTTTTGGACGTGGTTGTTTTAACAAGGCTCTAGAAACAAGAAAAGGCAAAGAGAGACCATGTTTTAGAGACCCCGTGTTGGCAGCCCATTCTCTACAATGAACAATGAAGATGAGTTCTTTGATGCCGTCACAGGTGAGACATTTTAAATGGCATGTGATGGTAGAGCTGCTACAAAAAATAACCAATAGTATGTTTAGTATTTAATAAAGTGTCCTTTTACGTCAATTCTCACTGCTTTTTTTGCAACTGTTTAGCACTGTAATCACAGACATTGTGCACATAATTGTAGTTGTGATGAATGGATATTTGAGACAAAAAGGTACCTCTAAAATTTTAAATCCTGAAGGAAATTAAGTTGAACTACTTGATTCGTGATCAGAAGTTGTTTGTAACGTCACCTCTGTGACACAAGCCCGTCTGGAGCTGTCGCATGTCATGAAAACATTACCATTCTCTCAGCGCTATCTGAGTTCACACACAGCAGCATTAAACAGCTGTGTTTTCTGAGGACGATCTCATTTGTCCCCTATTGTGAGTGTTTTGGCCACTGTTGATTTTGGCCTTCAGTCTTGTGTGTTTATGACAGAGTGGCCGCAACGTAGCGTGCCGTTCTGGTGTCGGCTTACCGCAGTCTGTTGATGGCTTCAATTATGTAGTGCTGTGTTCAGATGGTCTGATGGCTTCTGTCATTGCTGAGGTGAAATTAGATGAAAATAATATAATGAATAAATAAACAAGGCAATACAACTTTGGCATGTCATTGTGCTGAGCTCCTGAAGCCTGATATCAGCAGAATCTCTCATATCAGATGGTACAAAATGTCGGATTTTATACCATGTTATTAAATAGGTCCATAGTTAATAGTTGCATGTTGATATCAGGTGTACAGAAGATATTTGGTGAGGTCTTCTGCATTTAATTTTACAAAATTTTGAAGAGAGATTTTTTTAAGGGAAATATCAATGACTATATCAGCTGTCAGCCAATATATATTTATAAGGGGCTGCTCAATTTAGGGAAAAAAAAAACTTTAATTACTATTTTTCTGACAAAAATTGTGGGGGGAAAAAATCCAGGTTTGCTGTGCCTGTTTGTATATGTAAAATGTGAATAAAAACTATTAATAAACTATTAATAAAAAAAACGTAACTATTAATTCTTTTAATTAATTGTGCAACCCTAATTGTATATATTTTATGTCATTTATTTTGTAGAGTAACTTGTTTGTTTATTTATTTTGAACATTCGTTTAAGCAGTATACTTTTTCTGTATCGTATTTCAAAAATACTTTGCTTGCAGACATGCGTCTAACCGTCTTTGTAAATAAGATGTGCTTGTGTGTCCCAGGCTTGGATTCAGACGAGTCGTGTGAAGGCACATCAGAAGCCAGTTTTAAAGATGCTGTAGTGTATGCCGGCGCTCAGAAGAACAATGGAGTGGTTCCTCTGGAGAACGGAATTAAGAAGCACAGGTAGAGCCAGATTCCAGCGCTGTGACCCATATCCTCCTTTATCATGCTCTTTGTCTCTGCCTTTAGTCTTTCTCCCTCTCTTTTGTTTCTCTAGGTTCTTATTGTTCTTCTTATCTTTGTAGTTCATTCTCGTTCATTTATAATCTGCACATCTGCATAGTTCTACATGTTGGTACACTTAAGAGATGTGTGTGCATGTTTATGAATGGGAAACCATTCTTCTGCCCTCTTAGGTCGTCTCTTCCTGCCCCCATGTTCTCCAGGAATGATTTTAGCATATGGAGCATTCTCAAGAAATGTATTGGACTGGTAAGGATAAATAAATAATTTTAGCAGCAAGTTTAGCATAATATTAATTATCTTATTTTTGTGGAATATTTCAGTGATTATCTTTCGGTGAACCTCATAATTTTCTTTAATTCATGTGCCCTCGTAATCTTCAAACAAAAACATTAACGTCCCCTCCCCCTCGAAACGGTACCTGTTCTCTGATGACGTGTGCCCATCGTGAGAATGGGTCAGTAATAATCCCTCGCCTCCAGCAGCTGGCACTCACATAAGAACACAGCAATTAGCAAACGACAGTGGCCCAATAAAATTCCTGATGGACCAAATCAAGCCCTGTGGTTCTTTTTCTCATTCGAGAGGGTGAAATCTTCGAAATCCAAATCCTCGAAAGTCCTCTCTGATCGATCTCTTAGTCCGTCATTTTCAGGTGTAAATTATGTACATGCAGTCACATTTCACTGTTCAAGATGACGTCAAGCTGACAGTTTAACTTTTTTTAAACCGTATCTCAGGATGCTCTCTATTCATTTACACTCCATCCAGCTGTTTTTTCATTCAAGAATGTGTGTTGGGGCCCCTTAAAGAACATGTCTAGACACTGTCTATTGGACATAGCCCTGTAGCAGTGTACTTTATGCAGGGTTTCCTTAAGAACTACTACTCAACTAGTTTGAAAATGTGAAGTTTTGCACAACTCGTGAAGTTGTAGTGGTGTTTGGTCCTGCTCAGCCTGTTTGCTGGTGCTGTTTTGTAGGAGCTGTCCAAGATCACAATGCCCATTGTGTTCAATGAGCCCCTGAGCTTTCTACAGAGAATCTCTGAGTATATGGAGCACACATACCTTATCCAGAAAGCCTGCTCACAGTCCGACTCTATACAGAGGATGCAGGTGAGACCACACGCTCCTCTTAAAGGCAGATTGTTGAGCTTGGACTTTCTAATTAGTGTATAATTTCAGTATAAGCTAGGGCCGGGTTGATATCAAGATTAATCAATGAAGTCATAACATTTACTGCGATACTCAGTGCTAGCATATGCTGTGCAGTTTACTAGTATTACAAACCGGCCTTTAATACTGCATGTTTTTCTGTCTTTCTTTTAAGACGGTAGCTGCCTTCGCTGTGTCTGCAGTAGCTTCTCAGTGGGATAGAACTGGAAAACCTTTCAACCCGCTTTTAGGAGAAACCTATGAACTCACACGGTAAAGACACATCAGCAGAGTGTTTTATAACAAACTATGCTGATAAGATTTGAGGATGTTGTTAAATGTGGGTTTGATCAAAATTGCTCTGGAGGGAGACTGGTGTCTGTCATTTATGTAACTCTACTTCTCCTTCCCCTAAATGCTTCCTTCCTCTTCTCTTGTTGTCTTCTCTTCTCAGGGAGGATCAGGGTTTCAGACTGATCTCAGAGCAGGTGAGTCACCATCCGCCAATCAGTGCGTTTCACACTGAGAGTCTGACAGGTGACTTTGTGTTCCACGGCTCCATCTACCCCAAACTCAAGTTCTGGGGCAAAAGTGTGGAGGCAGAGCCTAAAGGGACCATCACGCTAGAGCTTCACAAGTGAGTGTGCCATCTTTATGTGCACACACATGTACAGGCCCTGATAGAGATATTCCCTGATATGTTTGTTTTTTTGGTTTGGTTTGGTTTTGCCTTTTGTTTGTTCTTGTTTTGCTTTGGTTTTTGTTGTTTTGGGGATTTTTGTTTGGAGCTTTTTTTTGTTAATTTTTTGTACTCTTTTGTTTGATATTACATTTTTAATGTAGCTAATGGTGTTTTTTGTGAGCTTTCTTGCTGTTAATGTGTTCATGAAAAGGTTTATTGATTATGTGAGTGAGATTTTCCTTGGATGAGTCAGTGGTATCCTGGTTGGATTTTAGAGCAAAGGGTTCTGGGGTTGCCGAGTAACTGCCTGCTCACATGCTTGTGTGTGTGTGTGTGTGTGTGTGTTTATCCTCACAGGCATAAAGAGGCATACACATGGACGAACCCTTTCTGCTGTGTACACAATATCATTCTTGGTAAACTGTGGATTGAACAGTACGGCACTGTAGAAATTGTCAACCACAGGTAAAGCCAGACTGTTCAGTTTTTATGACCCATCTATTCTATTGTGAATTCACATGGATATCTTCGAATGATTAATGTGATGTGTAATTGGTTAGTACTGGAGAGAAGTGTGTGCTGAACTTTAAACCCTGTGGCATGTTTGGAAAGGAGCTGCACAGAGTTGAAGGTTACATCCAGGATAAGAGGTGAGATCCTGACTCACTTGATTTAAATTAGAAAATTGTTGCATTGATCAATATATCCGTCGTCTTGGATTTATACTAACTCCTAGCAGCATGGATAAAGCTTTACATAAAATAGCAAATGTTTTTAATATAGAAATGCTTTATTTGCACTCAGTCTCGATTAATTTATTGTGTGAGTGCGACTGTCCAATAAAAGAGTTGTTACTTAGATTTGGTCGGGGGGGGGAATAAACATAAAATTTCTCAAGAGCAATTTTTGAAGGGAAAACACAAAATATAGCAGCAAAAATTGTACTTGTAAGGAAAAGTTTACACAGAAGTAAGCCTTACTACTATTAGTGTACTAGGGAGACCGTGCCAAATTAGACAACTTCAAGCTGTTGTGGTCGTGCCGTGACAGCGGTCGTGTCTGTTGTAGACATTACTATCCGTCAAGCGGGTAACGTTATTATTGCTAACATAGCGGACTCATCGAAAAATACATTGGCGTCATCTGTATTAAAGAGAAAATAATCACTTCATTCGATGTTTAAGTGAATAAAATAGCCTTGACAGCCTTGGAGTTCCACAACTATTGACTTTGTTCTCGCTCACCGGACTTGTGTGTGTTTGTGTAGGTGATGCAGGGTTTCCAGGTTTTCGCAACAAAACCTGCCCAGTTCCTACTCAAAACTAGCCCAATCGCGTTTCGAGGGAGGTTCCCCGGTAAAAAATAAATAAAATCACGTTCTGGGGGGTAAAATACACGTGGACTTGGCAACACTGAGGTGATGTAAAAGAGGAAAGCAGGCATTTGGACCAAAGCACTGTGAGGCAAGGGAGGGGGAGACTCCAAGTAAAAAGGTTATTTACAATACACAGCCTGGTTTTTAATCATATTTTTAGGGGGGGGACAACCCTCAGATGGGGGGGGTCCTGAACCCCCCCGGGATTTCCACCTATGGATTTGGTAGCAATATTCATCTGGTCAAATGAGGTGACCCGTTCCATGTACATTTGTATTATTTTTTTTTTATATTGGGATACTGACATGAGTGAAGTCATGCGTACAATTAATTTCTTTGTGTAACTTTTTTTAATGATGGAACAATGATGACCTTTAAGATTTTAAAGTTTAGAAAACCGACACCTTTGATACCCGTGACATTAGGCACTGAGTTAATAATTAAGGTGCGATTAAATGACTGGAGGTGCTAGGTCATGTACAGTTGGTTATAGATGTTTGTAATCTACTGCAGTATCCAGCTGTAAGCAGTATCAAGAATTGGATCAAATGTGTGCCAATGTCCTGTTGGTAGTCATCGCTTCTCATTTGCATAATGTAAACTCTTTAAACGTTGTTGTTGCCTTAAATGGCTAATTCTGATAAAAAATGAACTCTTTGCTTTTTTCTTTCTTGTTTTCCTAGACTTCCAGGTAAAACTATTCTGAGATACAGTGCACAGCATAAATGAGTACACCCCCTCTGAATAAATATAAAATATGTATTTTCTTAATGATCACTAATATAATTAATATAATTCATGGAAAGATGGCAAAATTGAAACATATTAAACATACATAATAAAAACAACAAGATATATACCAATATTTTCTGTAAGATAAGTAAATTAGTCAATTTTGTTTAAATGAAGGATTGCAGAAATGAGTACACCCTAGATTTAATTCAGAAAATGTATAGTATTCTAGTATGTCCTCCAGAACTTAAAGTATACTGCTCTGACCCTTCTTGGCACTGAGTGTACAAGTTCATGACAAATTTTCACATCTGTGCTGTTTAACTCCTGGAGGACGACCTCCTTAAATGCTCTGGTCTTTAATGGGGAGTTTTGCTCATCTCGTCTCTACAGAATCTCTCACAGCAGCTCAAGCGTGTTAAGATTGAGTGAAATAAATGTCCACGGAAGGATTTTCACCTTGGGAGAATGAATATATTCATTGTCATGCTGAAAAAATGCCCAATAATGCAGGGAATGAGAGATTGGGAGCTGGTGTTGTCATATCCTTGCTGTAAAAATATGGTGACAGTTTTTTTTTTTTTTTAAGTTCATAAATTTCAGGAGGGTGTACTCATTTTTGCAACACAAAATTTTATCACTTTGATAAGAAAATCTTATTTTGCTGAATAATTTTGGCATTCTTCTTTGGTAATTGATCAAGCAGGCTTGTTGGAACATTACATCTTCAAAGAACCCTAACATGTCTTCTAAGTAACGAGTAATTACTGAATTTGTTAAGTTTTAGAGGGGGTGTACTCATTTATGCTGTGCACTGTACATAGAAGATACAAAGAAAATACAACAACATTGACCAATGTAATATTCATTTATTTATGATATAAACCTAAATTTGCTTCAGCTCATCTCTTAACTAAGGTTAAAAAAACAAAAAATGTCACTATCCTCTGTTAGCCAAAGACTAGTCGATATTCAGTCTAACTACATTATAATTAATGAATAATAAATATACATCATGATGGCATCAAGAGCATGGGGGTGATCAGAATTATTTTCGACACATTTACCACACACATCAATAATAAAGTCAACGAAGTAAGCTGAATGGAGAAAATGGGAATCTGACTCAAAATATCTACAGGGAGTTCATGTTCCTACCTAGATCCTGAAAACCTTATGAATTGATGATCCGTCCACTTACCGGTGAACAGATACTTCTTTTTGTGTAAATGTTAGTTTGTGAAATAATCTTGCTAGCTAACAACTAGCATGCCAACGTTTCAATGGATTTAAGAGACATTCCTGTTTCTTTATTGTTCTTTATTGAATGAATGCATGTTTTCTGTTCTTTCCTCTGTGTGTCACTTGCAGTAAGAAGAAGTGCTGTATGATCTATGGGAAATGGACCGAGTGTATGTGGAGCGTCGACCCGCAGGTGTACGAGGCCCATCGGAAGCTCGAGAAGAAGGGAACGACGGACACTCGAAAACAGAAACAGGTGTGAAAGATGATAGCAAAACTAATAGTTGACCACTCATGCTGCTGCTTTCCCTGACTGCTAATGCTTCCATTAACTGAGCTCTTTATCTTTTTAAAACTAAAGCAAAGCTCTCTGTGTGTTCATGTTAAGCTAACAAAGAGAAAGATGTAGACTAGTATCATTAAGAGGTGTAGACATCTTAGACTGTCTGTAGTGATTCATGCACAGAATAATGGAGTGTTGTTTTAGGGTTATTGAACTGTTTGTATTGGTGTGTGGTTTAAATATGTGCTTCTGTATGTACAGAACAGCTGTGTGTAGGTGTAGAGAGAGCAGGTGTGTTAAAATACTCATCATGCCTTAGTCCTTTGCCTCTGTTCAGGCTTTTGTCAGTTCATTTGTTTATTTTAACACGTGTCCCATTACATGACAACACACCCAGTGTATTGCTATATTTAAAAGACGTCACGTCTCTCGGTGTGGGAGCTTAATTGACAATTCATCTTCTGTGGAACATAAAAGAAGATATTTTGAGAAATGTCACAGTGTATTTGTTCACAGGATAGAAGTGAATGGCCACCCAAACTTTTTGGTTTTCAAAATATCTTCTTTTGTGTTTTGCACAAGAAACTAAGTAACCAAGTGACATTTGTTTTAAAGAAATCCCGAGCTCACTTTTCTCAAAAAGAACATTTTAAATGGTATAACAATAGATATACTGGAGATGCCACTTGATTTGATATCTTGTCTGAGTTTATGCTTTTTATGAATACTGGGTATTGTGTGAATAATAAAGATTAAAGCATTTAGGGAATGTTACTGTTCTGTCTGAGTGTTTAAACTATGTACTTGCACCAAAAGGAGGAGCCAGAAGCCGTCAACGAGGATGCCGATGAAATGCCTGATGTACAGGAGACTGTGGCCGTGATTCCTGGTAGCACATTATTATGGAGAATATCATCGAGACCACCTCATTCAGCAGAGGTACACACTCTGATCACTGTTATGTTCATGTGCAGTAACCTGAATGCACAAAACAAACTTGTAAACAAACTGATGATTTCTTAAAAGGTGAAATACATTACTGTTCAAAAGTTTGGGGTTGGTGTGATCATTTCTCATCATTTTTTTATGTCTCTTATGCTCACTAAGACTGGGTTCTTTGATCAAAAGTTTTACTGTAAGAACTGTGAAATAATATTTCAATTTAGAATAACTGTTTCTGTTTGAATGATTTAAAGTGTAATTTATTTCTGTGATGCAAAGCTGAATCTCAGCATCATTACTCCAGTCTTCAGTGTCACACAGTGGTGGACAGTAACGGAGTAGCTTTACTTCGTTACTGTACTTAAGTACATTTTTCAAGTATCTGTACTTTACTGGAGTCGTTTTATTTTGAGTAACTTTTACTTTTACTTCACTACATTCCAAAGCATAAGATCGTACTTTTTACTTCACTACATTTCATAAAACATATCGTTACTCCTTATAATATATCACGTGCTCCGAGACGCAGAAGCGGTGTCTGATTCAAGAACGAACTGATTCTTTTCAATTAACCTTTTAAATCGGTTCGCAAATAGCACCAAACGATTCATTCACGAATTAGAATGAACCGATTGCAGCTGTTCTCGCAGATGGTCAAATCTGTTTTCTCTCAGGTACTTCGCAGTGTAAGCTTCACAGTGAACATTACTACATCACTCTCGTCAACGTAGTCCATACGAAACAACACAAATATATCTTGACTCCATATAGTGGTTATTTTGGGAAAATCCCAGGTATTTTGAGCGGTAGGATTATAAAAAATATGTGCTAATATAAAATTAAATTAAGTAGACTATATAAAATTGCAAAATAAATCTATCTATCAGTACTTTTTTACTTAAGTACATAAAAAATCGAGTACTTTTGTACTTTCACTCGAGTAAAATTGAAAAAGGAGTAGTTTACTTTTACTGGAGTAATATTTTATTATACGTATCCGTACTTTTACTCAAGTACTTGATTTGTGTACTTCGTCCACCACTGGTGTCACGTGATCCTTCAGAAATCATTCTAATATGCTGATTTGCTGCTCAAGAAACATTTATTATCAATGTTGAAATCGTGATACATGTTTTTTTCAGGATTCTTTGAATAGAAAGTTCAAAAGAACAGCAATTATTTAAAATGAAAATCTTCTGTAACATTATGAATATCTTTTCTGTGGCTTTTGATCAATTTAACACATCCTTACGGTATAAAAGTATGAATTTCTTACAGAACAAAAGTTTTGCTGACACCAAACTCTTAAACGGTAGTGTAGTAATGGTGGTCTACCTGATTTTAAACCCCTTCTGTTCACTTCTAGATGTATAACTTCACTAATTTTGCCATGACGCTGAATGAGCTGGAGCCTGGCATGGAAGGAGTGCTGGCACCAACAGACTGCCGCCTGCGGCCTGACATCAGAGCCATGGAGAACGGCAACATTGGTAATGAACGGCAGCCCTACAGCGCCCCCTACTGTTCATACATGCTAAAGACTAACATTTGATTTCATTGACTTTCTTTGTGCAGATGAAGCCAGCAGTGAAAAGGAGAGACTGGAAGAGAAGCAGAGAGCAGCTCGTAAAGAGCGGGCCAAAGATGATGAAGAGTGGTCGACTAGGTTAGTTTTGCTCTGTTTTTACTGCTTGCTTTGTGTGTGTGCTTTATTTATGCAATATTTTTAACCTCTTCTACTGTTTTTAGGTGGTTTCAGTTAGGCACAAATCCGTACACAGGATCACAGGACTGGCTGTACACTGGTGGCTACTTTGATAGGAAATACACAGACTGTCCTGATATCTACTGATGAGGAGGTGCAAGTTCAAAGGGCAGAGGTTTTGTCACCTCCTTCCTCCCTCTCTCTCTCTCTCTCTCTCTCTCTCTCTCTCTCTCTCTCTCTCTCTCTCTCTCTCTCTCTCTCTCTCTCTCTCTCTCTCTCTCTCTCTCTCTCTCTCTCTCTCTCTCTCTCTCTCTCTCTCCCCATCTACACCAACCCTCTACACAATGCACCATATCGTATCCAACTGAAAATGATAGCGCTTATGCTCTCATTAATATTGAGCTGCCTCCATCTTCAGCACTTGCGTTTATGATTGTGCTTTTGTCCTTTGGAAGCATCTTCTCTCACGTCCCATCAGAACCAGTTTGCCTTTTTCTGCCTTTAAACGTACAAACCCCTCATCAAGCTCCAGTTTGTTCACTGTCAGTGATGCTGGAGCTTGATAAAGATTTAGTTATATCACCAATAAAATGTGACTCTGAAGTGCTCTGGCCGTTTTCCATGTACAGTAGGCGTTTAACATATGAAAACTAATTCCAGATGTTTGAGCGTGAAGGTGATCAAGCATTAATGAAATAACGACGTAATGTTTAGTGAATGATGATGAATGTTAATAATGAACTGTGGGTGCGTGTAGATGTGTGTGCGCTTGTGGCAGTTAATGTAAAAAGCCATGGCTTTTGTTTTAAATGGTACAGTATTTTGCCTTTTGGATTTTCAGATTAAGCTTTACGTAAAATAGCCTCATCATGCATTTTAAAAATGGCCTCAAAGCTGTTTTTCTTTTTCCTTTCACTTCGTGGTTTCCGCAGAGACTCATGGGATGTAAAATAGGCTGATTGTACCGACATTATTCTGTTGTTTAATAAGGCTTTGTTGACATACTGTAAATGCACATTTTCATATTTCACAGGTCTTATAATGTATTGGTGTCACACTAAATTGTTCCTCAAGCACTATCCATTGAATTTGTTTTATGAAAAGTAGGGTGTCTTGGGTTGTTTTATCCATCAGCATTTGCATCTGTTATCACCGTTCTCAAACATAGACATGTACACTGTGTATTTGAGAAACGGGACAAAATCTATGCAACCATTCAAACTGCTCAAACCCCACATAATATTTCAGTCTTAATGAACGTACAGAATGGCAGCTTATGTAAGCGTAAATATTTGAGAGAATATTTCCTGCCTGTAGATGCCATGAAAAGTATTTGACAACTAATCATATACTCATTCATCATAAAAGCGATTCTTTTCATGTAGAGATGATCTGAAGCGTACAGGTCAGATGAGTGGGTTTGAAGCACACCGATGCAATCATCGTTGCTCTTCTCAAGTACACAAACGTGTTTGGTTTCCCACAGTGCCTGATTTTGAACACATCTGTGAGTCACTAGTACTTCATCTTGAGCTGTTTGTTTCCCACTTAAAGGTGTTTTAAGATTTATTTGAATATGTTAGACATTTTATTTAATTTTCTAACCATCTTTCCCCTCGTCTGAGTACTAAACGTCAACAAGAATGTCAAAATATATTCAGCATCTGTTAGATACACACATCACATTCAGTACACTACTTGTTTTGCATCCTGTATTGTATCTTTTCCTTCATTTAATGTACATTTTGATTATTTGAAAAATAGCGTTATAAAACTAATATTCCACAATTAAACTATAGATTTTATTTTATGCGGCTTTGTGTCAGTTTATTGTGTAAGTGGAATGACTAAGTGTTCCTCTTCACTGGATGTCATATTTTCAATGTACGAATGTCCGTATGCTCCAAGATGTTGCACATAGATTTCTAGCAATCATAAGCACATAGCTCCTTATTTTGTGCAATGCTTTATGTTTATAGTATTGAATTTTCTTTTTTTTTTTGATCATGGTGTCGTAAGGTATTTTCTCTGTGAGATGAGGGTTATACTTCATTTTTGAACGGAGTTAAAGGGGATGCCATTCTGGTGAGAATAAATTCTACTACTTGAAATTTTAGTTTGAACATGTTGATTCTTTTGGAATAAAATAAATTGCATTGATAACCTCTCTGTTTCATTCCTTTAAAAGCAGGAATTCTGCACTACTAGCCGGATATCAATAGTGTTGTGAAAAAGTCTTTGTGGTTTATAATATTTTATATTGTATTAGGCTGAATATTGATATTGATGTGCAATTAAATAAAAGGTGTTTTATTTCGATAGCAATGCTGAATGTAAAGCATGGTATAAATGTATTGCACTCATATGTGGTTTTGTACACACTAACTGGAACTGTCAATATACAAGAAGCTTTTGTAATGGTTTTTAATTGATCTCACTGGTCTAGGCAGTGGAGTAAATATGTATTTGTTAGGTTTTGTGTCATGATGTGAATGAGACTCAAGTTTGATTTTGACAAAAGAGAATCTATTTTTTTAATTCGACGTGGAGTTTACATTTGTGCTTGAGAAATTTGTACATTTTGTTCTCAATCGTGAAAACTCATTCATACTACGTTTTTGTGCAAATAAACTTGACCAACATTATAACCTAATTATTCAATGAAAATATTACATTGCACTAATCATTAGGTGAGTGCATAAAAAGAAAGCGGCTCTGTCTGCACTCCACGACACAGCAGTTGCTGCATGCAAAGAATGACATGTCATTCAGCCAATCAAATACAGCCTTACGCACGAACGTGACCAATAGGAACGCGGCTAACAGGATACAGGAAGTCTCGTGCCACTTTTCTTCAGTCTGTCTGCAACTCTTCAGCGAGTGTCCTTTAAAGACCCTTATATGCTGCTGGAAAACCCACGAAAGACCAGACGTATCCACCGGTATGATGTGCTTTTGTTGCAATATGTTATTATCGGATTTATAGCGGCGAGATCCGTTTAAATACGCATCGGAAACAAAATGCGCAGTCATGTTGAGCTTGAGGTGTTTAAGTGGCAGCTAATGCTAATTGAGTGAACCAAACAATGAAAATATGATTACATTTTTAACCTGGGGGTGAAACTGTGGTAATTATCGTACTATAGTATATATTAAACGTAATATGTAAAATAATATATTTGTACAAATACAAGCCAGCTGCTGTCTTTTGAAGCCAGCTGGAGTGCTGATAAATCTTGCTGAGTAACTGTGCTCACATTTTTCAGCTTCATGTTGTTTGTCAGCTATGTGCTGAAGATGAGCACTGAGCTCTTTGATAAAAACCTGTTTTTTATGAATTCAGAAATAGCTTAAAATGATGTTGTGTGTTTTAACTGTTTGTATTGTGTGTCCAGCAGTAAGGATGTCATCTGGAGCTCTGTTCCCCAGTCTGGTGTCTGGCTCCCGCAGCTCATCCAGTAAATATCTGGTTGAGTTCAGGGCCGGTAAAATGACCCTGAAGGGCAGCACAGTGACCCCGGACAAGCGCAAAGGCACCGTCTACATCCAGCAGACGGACGACTCGCTCATCCACTTCTGCTGGAAGGACAGGACCTCTGGAAATGTGGAGGATGTGAGGGCTGTTTACTATTAGCGGTCGACCGGTGATGTTTTATATGGATATCGAAGTCTTGATTTTGTGTTTCAGGATCTGATAATATTCCCAGATGACTGCGAGTTCAAGCGGGTGAACCAGTGCACTACAGGACGTGTGTATGTGCTGAAATTCAAGGCCGGCTCTAAAAGGCTGTTCTTTTGGATGCAGGTGAGTAAAAGATTGTAGCGTTTTGCGACGCAGCATTTCAGATTTGCTTTGTCAGAATATAATGAAATGATGCACTCAGAGGGGATTGTGATACCCGATCAGCTGTCGTCAAATTTGTGCTTGCTGTTCCATCTCTCGCATCTCTCTAAAGGAGCCGAAAACAGATAAAGATGAGGAGTACTGTCGCAAAGTCAACGAATACCTGAACAACCCCCCCATTCCAGGGGCTCTGGGCAGTGGAGGAGGTGGTAGCCATGAACTCTCTGCTCTTGGTGGTGAGTGATAGAAGATAATAATAATTAATTAATTACATTTATATAGCGCTTTTCTAGGCACTCAAAGTGCTTTACATTGTCGGGGGGTATCTCCTCATCCACCACCAGTGTGCAGCATCCACCTGGATGATGCGACGGCAGCCATAGTGCGCCAGAACGCCCACCACACACCAGCTTATTGGTGGAGAGGAGACAGAGTGATGAAGCCAATCAGTAGATATGGGGATTGTTAGGAGGCCATGATGGTCAGAGGCCAATGGGCGAATTTGGCCATTGGCTTTTTTTAATGACCACAGAGAGTCAGGACCTCGGTTTAACGTCTCATCCGAAGGACGGTGCTTGTTGACAGTATAGTGTCCCCGTCACTATACTGGGGCGTTAGGACCTACACAGACCACAGGGTGAGCACCCCCTGCTGGCCTCACTAACACCTCTTCCAGCAGCGACCTTGTTTTCCCAGGAGGTCTCCCATCCAGGTACTGACCAGGCTCAGCCCTGCTTAGCTTCAGTGGGTAACCAGTCTTGGGCTACAGGGTGATATTGCTTGCATAGATGGAGAACATGTCTTTGGGCCTGACCCAATACCCACATGTGCAGTCTTGACCACTTGAGAGCTTTTATACATGAGTCAGGGATGCATACTTGACACTTTTCAGATAAAAATGTCTGTTTTGTATCCATAAATGTTTTGTGATTCTCACATCTCCAATTAGTTTGTGAAACTAGGTTTGGGGCCTTTCTACACTACCAGTAAACATGGTGTACATAACCTGGTTTCTAATTTCAAAGGGAAATATTTCTATTTACAAAATATTTGTGAAGTGTTCCGCATCATAGCCAATCAAAGGTGTTTAGGTTAATCAGAATCTGCTCAGAATGCTGAATGCGTTTACTAGCTATGCTATGGAAACGCCAAATATAGAGGGGAAAAAATTCCCTTAATTCGCAAAAGTTTTTACGCTCGCTTGAGGTGGTTTTTGACTTTTGTGAAAAAGGGTTAATGCGAATAATGGGAGATGGAAACACATTTTGCAATTAAATTCCTCCATGCGCATCAAAAAAAAGTCATGTGACTGCGCATACGCATAACCTGACCAACCAGCGGACCGATCTCGTTGCACGGCATCTGAAATAT